AAGTCTGCCACTTGAGCCCTGTGAGGACAGTGTCCATCATTCGCTGGAAAGTTGCCGGCGCTGAACACAAGCCAAAAGGGAGCACTCGAAATTGGTATAGACCATCTGGAGTCACAAAGGCTGTTTTCTCGCGGTCTCGCTGATCTACCTCAATTTGCCAATACCCACTTTTGAGATCGAGAGAAGTGAAATAATGGGCACGAGGAAGTCTATCCAGCGAATCGTCAATACGCGGCAGCAGATACACATCTTTTTTCGTCACGTTGTTAAGCTTTCAGTAGTCGACGCAGAAGCGTAGCGACCCGTCCTTCTTTTTGACAAGTACGACTGGAGATGACCACGGGCTGTTAGATGGTTCAATAACGCCATAGTCAAGCATCTAGCTGACTTGCATGCGTATCGCTTCACGTTCTTTGGCCGACACGCGGTAGGGGTTCTGGTGTATCGGGCGTGCGTCCTCGTATGTGATGATCCTGTGTTGAGTGATAGACGTCTGGCGGATCTTTGAGCAACTTGCGAAGCAATACCTGAACTTGAACAATAGCGCTCGTAGCGCAGTCTGGTTATCGGTGGACAGATAAAGATTGATGTCAATATTACTCATTGACGTGTCGGCGGTATCCACTAGTTCCGACGTGAGACAGTTGGTGACGTTTGTTACTTCGTGGGCAAATGCTAGCGAAGTGCCACGGAAAAGACGTCGATGCTCGTTGCTAAAGTTGGTTACGAGCCATTCAAATCGGCCATCACGAAGGTGTATTACACTTCTAGCTACACAAATGCCTTGCTGCAGGAGGTGTTCTAAGTTTGTCGCAGCCACCACATCGCCATCGCCCAAACCACAGCATGTTACGTCGACTAGAACACTTGCTCGAGAAGGAAGCGTCACGCTCTGTTCAGAAGAACAGAGTACGTCGACACGCCTTCCGTCATCTTGCATGTTGATTGCTCGCTGGGCTGAGAACGTGACGCGGTGCTCTTGCAGATCAATGATAGCTCCATTTTCCTGTAGAAAGTCAACTTCCAGTATGACGTCACGGGAACATTCGCGTAGAACAAGGCAGCTTGCTACGAATGTATACCCTTGAATCTGTACTCTAGTTGTGCAGGCCCCCAGTGGAGTAACGACGTGGCCACCAGCTGTCCGAATCGGCGAGTTATGCCACGGTGTGATGACTTTCTTCAGCTGCGTTGTCAGTTTCCCGCTCAATATGGAATAGTCTGCGCCGGTGTCCACTAACGCATTAACTGCACAACCATCAATTGTCACTGCTATGTCGAGTGAAAGTCGGCCATCCTTTGCAGCAGTATGTGATGACGGACCAGTTTCTGTACGGTTCTGCGTCAATAGGAGGTCTTCAGCGCTTCGACGTTCAGCGACCCCACCCTCAGAGGTCGCTTGGGCTAGTTTTCCCGGCGGGGGCTGGGAGACCGTGTGGTAGAATACCGCTGGGGCGTTGATGAAAATCGCATCGGTGATGGCTAGCACGACTGGCGCCCGGCAGACGGTGGTGCATGCTGCTGGGAGAGGTAGTTTTCAATTTCGCGTGGTCTCTGGCCGTAACGGGGTTGCGGTGAGTACGCAGAGAAGCCGTGAAGCCCAAGACGGCGATATGGGCACTGGCGAGAAAAACAATAGGGATAAGGAATTTTTAGACCACGATGGGGATTATGCACCTTCTCTAGTTGTCTAAAGTACCGCATATTTAATGTCGTTGCTACAACGAGAGAAACTGCGAAGTGTTTTCAGACAAGTGTCCATGAGGGCCTTCACATATAAGGTAGGAAATCATTTATGTGGCGGCAAACTATATACTCCAAAGGCCAGGCGTTGTGTACATTTCAATTTGTAAACTTTAATGCAACTCCTCAAACTTCTTTGATTCTGTCACTTCTGCTGCAGCCTGATTTATATGAAGAGGCTCCATATCGGCACATGCATTCAGTCTTACGTCTCCACACGGTTTTGTTCGCACCAGTGGGCAATTTTTGGATGGCCAGGATGCGGAGTGGCATTATCAAAAGGGCCAATTAGTTGCCTGTATATTATGCATTTATTTGCCCATATTTTAAACATATATGAAATAGTATTGCCAGTGCTAATGTACACCATAAATAAAATCTTTTGCAGTGCCTACAGCGCCAATGCCCTTCGGCACCGCGGATTGTACAAGTGACCCCACAGAAAAAGTTCTGCAATTAAAATCAATGATTAGTGAAAAGTTACTTCTGCAGTTCCTAGTACGGTTATTGATGAAAGTACCAAAGTTTCACTGATTCAAAGCTGTGAGGTACCTTGTCGAACGCCTTCGCCAAATTAATAAATCTGGCGTTTATTTCTGATTGGTCACTGACGGCTTGGTATAGACATAAGACCAGCTTTAATAGGTGAGTTTCGCATGAGCCTAACTCAATGTCAGTTCGCGAAGAGAAGACACGCTTTGTTCGGTATTAAAGATTCCTGATTATGTAATATATTCCAATAGCCTACACATCGTACTCGTTAGGGAAATCGGTCTGTAAGTACATGGAGACGAGGGGTTTTCATAATGGCAGATTGAACTATATCAGTTATTTTTTAACTGTGAAGAACACGTTATCCATTGACCTACAGAGGCAAGACCTGTTTTATGTGTGAAAAACCACTACTCAGTAGCTTTAAGGCATGCGGGTTTGAATAAAATGACAAAGTAATATTAGTATTATTTTGTGCGAAGTGTTACTTGCCTGCTGGAGGGAAACTGTGCTATCGGAAACACACCGGTTAAAAATGAAGCTCGATAAATACACTTTTATTACAGAACCTCCAAACGAAACTCTGCGTCCATCAACCAAATCGGTTGCCCACCTTATACACGTGACAAGCTCTCTGGTTGTTTTTCAGCTATTTCAGACAAACTTTGCCAGGACCAGGCAGCTTCTTTTTCCTTGTAAGTCGCTATGCGGATATCCTAGCATTTATGAAAACTAAACAATCCTGGCTACGACAACCGAATACGTCTTATTTATTCTGTATTCTAAGCAATGACCAGTCCGGACAAAAACAGGTGTGAAAAAGTATTGAGGTGTACACGACAAAGTGGAACTTTATAACATTATTATGTGAGGCTTAATGTCCCAACACCACTATGTGTTTATGAGAGATGCCATGGTGGAGTGCTCCGGAAATTTCAACTTCGTAACAAACAATTGCTAACTCGTTTTGTTCCTTTAATCAAGCTGCAATTTTATATAACTATGTATTCTTAAAACATGCAGTCGGGAATATTGTTAGATGCACAGTCCGTTTTACAAAGTAAGCAGGTATAATAAAGCCCCAACATATAAGAGAGGCATTTATATGCGAATGTAGGAAAGCATGAAAGGAATAAACTATTCAGAATTGCTAATATAACAATTTATTAGGGCAATGGTGAGACACATGTCACATGTGGTAACCTTTTACATAAACAGCCAAAAAAGAATTAGTGGTGGCGTAGCCTGCTTCTTTCTCATGTCTAATTATTTATGTAGCTCACCTGCAAGCCACCCTTCATGCCAAAAAGCAACCCAATAGAAATTTTTTGGATGTGGAGATATTCAGACAGCTGAAAAAATGAGTGTTTCTAGGCCAGAACAATTCATAACTACTTATTCATAAAGCTGAGGCTGTTGCATATGAACTGAGAATGAATTGAACTGAATAGTAGTTTCTTTACTGAGTTGCATTTGGAGCTGTTCAGGGTGGTCTCGAAACCCACGCTGTAGGCCTATAGGTGCCTAGTTCAGACACTCTTATTTGGCAGCAGTGGTTGAGAGCCTCCTTCATGAACGGAAGGACGCCAAGAAACCCCATCCTGTTTTAAGCAACAAAATTCTTGAAATGACACTCTATGTGAAAAAAGGGTCGCACAATAAAGAAAAGAACGTCACTAAATGGTTGAGTGTGTCTATGGTTCCTTGTTCCCCGCATAAACTGGCTGATTTGTTCCCACGCATTTCGGGGCCAACAAAAAAAAAAAAACCAGCGTGTGGAAAGAGGTGCGTCGAGTCTAATGTTGCATGTGTCGTAGCCATTCCGCAGGAAACACTACTCAAAATTATGGAGTGCAATATGACCTCTAGACGCGCCGCAGAGGTATACTGGTTATGGCATTCGACTGCAAACTCGAAGGTCACATGATCGAATCCCGGCTGCGGCAGCTGCATCTTCGGAGCAGGCAAAAACGCTGCAGGCCCGTGTGCTGAGATTTAGGCGCAGGTTAAAAAAAAAAAAAAACAGGTGACCACGATTTCCGGAGCACTCCACTACGGCGTCTCTCATAATGAAATTGTGGTTTTGGGACGTCAAATGTCAAATAATATTATTATAATATTAATATTATTATTAAGTATGACTCGCACGTGGGTTGGTGTTTCCCCTGTATCCGACGTTAATATTTTTCTGTATATTATTAGGCTCTTTTAACTGATTGTTTATGATCCTCTCTGGCCAGATTATTATATGCTTGCGATTTGCAAAAAACAGTAAAATGAACTGCACTGTGCATGCTCAGAATAATTGTGCGAGCAGCGGAGCACTCCGCTATCGAAGCCAACTGCGCGGACTGCAAATGCGCGTCCGCTTCATGGCGCCGTCGTTTCAAAGCCGAGTTGACTTCGCATAGGCAAGACATGCACGTGAAAAAAAAAAAAACGTAAAACTTCTGCAGTTCCCTGTACTTTCTCGGGGTTTTACATCTGCCTTGGGAGAGTGTAAGCGACGCTTAGCAAACATACCTGTTTTCATAAATTGCATTTAGCGACAATGAAATATAGGGTGGTTGTGCTTAGTCCGGCTTGTTAGCTATTGATATTCACTACGGAGAAACTTACCAGACAGGCCGCAATTATGAGAGGGTCTATAATGTAAGAATAATAAATATTGAATAAAATCAACGGATCAGTCGGCTTATGAAAAACAAGAACGTTCAATCTTCTGTAAATATTCAGATAGGAAAACTCAGTCGTTCTCATCTCACCTGCAGATGGTTCCGTATTCAGCCGTCTCTACAGTGTGCGTCGCTTTCGGGTATGTCGGCCCTCGTATTTTATATACCAGGCCATACTGTGGAATGAGCTTCCAAAGTGAAACTCACTGGGCCATTTTTTCACGCAAAAGAAGGAAGTGGCACGCACCAAGGCCATTATAGCCATCCCCGTTACGAAGGCGCTACTACACTGGCGCATGGCAGCTTTCGTGTTGTGTTCGTCACCAAATTGGCCAGAAGCACCATCACTGAGTTATCAGTTGCCTATGATGTAGTTTTGAACACAGTGCTGATTGAAGTTGTGTCCTTCGACACACAGGAGTCGTAAACACAAGAGACACGTAGAAGGCACCTGCTAATACATTGCTTCGTAGCTTGCGTATGAAGCAGTTACGTGACCCACCGTTGCTGGTCATTCCGGTTGATGGTTCTTTCCGCGTAGGAAAAGGCACTAACGGTATATTTGCGGTATGCGCAGAAAAAAATTACTCATTCGCAGAAAAATATGCCCTTGCACAAAAGAAGGAAATAGAAAGATATGCAGGTCCCGGATGCTGTGAAAATGACTGTTGTGCGAAATGCTTGCGTATTCCCTGCCACCAGTACAAAGAGCACTGAATTTTGCAAACGTTTCACTGTATATAGGACCCTAAGCGGTAGTTTAGCGGCTAAGGTACTCGGCTGCTGACCCTACGCTTGCGGGATTGAATCCCGGCTGCAGCAGCAGCATTTTACATGAAGGCAGAACTGCTGTAGGCCCGTGTGCTCAGATTTCGGTGCAAATTACACAACATTGGTGGGTCGAAACTTTCGGAGCCCTCCACTACGACGTCTCTCATACGGTGGTTTTGGGACGTTAAACCCAGCCTATCAAGCAGTCAATCAACATGTATATTGTGCCATTCGTGACGCCACGAAACTTCGCCATCAACCTATATCATCGCGAGTAGCAATGACTGTGAAGCTAGCACAAGCGACGGTGGATGATAGTCAAATCGAGAGATCAGGATCACGGTTCATTTACATATATCATTACGGCAAGCATGTTCTCAGTCGTTCATTCTACTAGGACTTGAAATGTACAACCAGGTGATGTTTGAATCTTCCCCGAGCAACACTGAAAACTGGTGAAGGCTTGAACACTGAAGTCTTATGTTGTGTAAAATGTAGCAGGAAAAATAAACAAAAAAGAAACTGCAAAGAGAAGTTTTTCATGGGCTGATCAATGCTCTAAGCATAAGAAAGAAAATCACGGAGGTAAATCACCACCCTTGACACTCTATTCATATGGGACCTTGAAGAAATGTTCATTTCTACGTAATTATCATAATAGCACTTCTGTATATTATGTGGGTCATAAATACTTCTGAGCCAATTGCCTGTCTCGCAATAATTTGTTTAAACTACAAGCTCGGTTTGCATGGGTGGCCTTTTTAAATATTGGTGGACAGAATTCCAGTTTGTAGGTAGTGTAGCATTTCATGAATATTTGTGATAGGAATATTGAGTGCTGGTTGGTTGGAAGTTCCGCAGGCAGGAAGATCTTTCTGCGCAGCAGCGCTGCGTGTGTCGGCATTCATTCGACTGCAACTTCAGCGAATTTCTATTTTCTAAATTTCCAGCTTTTAAAGGGAGCGGCCACTCCTTATTATGCATGATTCTGTTAGTTTAACACGCAGTGATTTTCTCGTCGTGGGTGGCTGCCATAAAAAATCTTAGCCTCTTTGAAAGCAACGTCCTGCATGTTCACAGCGACTGGTGCTTTCAGATAGATTAGCATGACAATGACGTGAACGTACTCAACTTCCGTCACCACAAGTGCACGTCAGTGATAAACGAGGTAAAGCATTGACGATTGAACGGATTTGAGCTGCTGTAAGTGAGGTCATGTATAAGATTTGCACTCCCTGCAAAAAATTCTGATCAGAGTCGAATGGAAAAAAAGAAAACAATCAAGAAACACATTTTACTATGCGTTAGGCTGAGCTTATTATTTTCGCGTGAAAATTAATGCGGATTCTCTCCTACAGCGTTCCCCGTTAGAGAGTTTAGGAATGGGGCCCCAAAGAGCTTAAGGACCCAAGAAGCTTGCGACGCGTCAGGGCGCATGCGCAGAATCCAAGTCAATCTTCAGCTCTTGTGTTCGTTGCCCCAAGGCCCAAAAATCGAAAGCTAGCGTGGGCCCCAAGGCGCCTTGTGTCACCAGCAACCTAGAGTTTCCTGAATTTAAGAGGGGGCTTTGGCGCTGCAATCATTCAGCGACCATAGGAATGATTGGCACAGAGGAAAGAAAAACAGTTTTTACTTCCTCTATGATGATGGGTAGTACTTATTCTTTGTACTTGCGGCTTCGTTTATTGCTGATTTGGGTTTTGCTTTGAAATAAGCAACGAATCCTTTTCAGTTTTGCGACCTAATTTGATATGACAAGTCAAAGAAAATAAGCAAATGAAGCACGACCACTGAACATTTGTTTACTTTTGTTTCATGAGAAAACAGCTCTAAGCCACACAAACACACACGGAGACAGAAGCAGGCCAGAAGTATGAATATCAGACAAATCTGTGGGTACCCATGATTCCCATGCTCGCTGAAGAGCAGTGCGTTGCAGCTTACATAGACACTAGCGCCAGAGCTCCCTCTAGTGTATATTGCGAAACTGTAGTGTTTACTGTAGCGAAACTGTAGCGAGAAATAGTGTTTCCTAATATACACTAGAGGGAGCTCTTGCGCTAGTGTCTATGGGTGCTGCAACGCACGGCACTTCATCGAGCATGGGAATGACGTGTAGTACACACATTTGTCTAATCTTCGTACTTCTGGCCTGCTTTTGGCTCTGTGTGTGTTCGTGTGGCTTGGAGCTGTTTTCTCACAAAACAAAAATCAGCAAATGCTCAGGGATTGCGCTTCACCACCTTATTATTTTAGGCTTATGTTTCCAAATCGGGTCACGAAGTTCAAAAGGGTTGAATCTTTCTTTCAAATCAAAACCGAAACACAGCATTAAACGAAGCCGCAAGTACGATTCGCCACCCGCAAGTACGAAGACTAGGCAAATGTGTGTACTACCCATCATTCCTATGGTCGCTGAACGATCGCTGCAGCAGAGTCTCCTCTAGGTAATTTTAGGAAACTATGCAGCGAGACGAAGCAGAAGCAGCGCGAGCCACGGTGCCATATGTCCTGCGTCTCGCATAAATTTTAGTTTGGCCGTGGGTGGTGCTCCATTCGTTTGACCCATAGGGAGCCTTCATGTACGTACATCTGCGTGTTTTAGGGTGGTGCCAGCCTTTCACCCAGCACTTGCTGCCACCCACTAAAACACAATGTCGCCAGTCCCGGTTACCATGGCAACAAGCACCATGTTGGTTCACATAGCCAAGCGTTCCTGCTTCGCCGTACTGCACCGGCTGCATGTTGGCGCGGCTGTGCAAGCTTCGGTATGAGCTGTGTTTGACTACACCGTAAACCTATCTTACGATACGACACCGTCCTCGCGCAAAGCGCACCTGCAACAACTTTTGAGTGTAAATGCCAGGGTGCTGCGTGCCGCAATGCAAGCCCATCTGGAGACTGTCCGGCATGCAGACTTCCTCTAGACAACGGAAACGCTGCATTACGCAAGTGAAGCAAAATTGCTTGGAGGCGACCACCTCTCCTCGTGTTTGTGAGGTGAGTACCCGTTGCGTTGCGTGTGAATGTAGTATATCGCCGCATATTTCGTGAACTTATTGGCCTATTGATGTGCCGGAGAGCAGTTTGGGCAAAGTAAACAGGACAATTTGCACAGTAGAAAAATGAATTGGGCTTCGTTCGGCTACGCCAGGTTATTGGCACCCGACAGTGGACCAGAGGGCGCGACGAAGCTCCATGGGCCACCTCAGCATTGTTGGTACCGAGCGCTAGGGATTGGTACCGACGTTGGTACCCGCCGCGGTGGTGGGGTGGCTAAGGTACTCGTCTGCTGACGCGCAGGTTGCGGGATCGAATCCCGGCTACGGCGGCTGCAATTCCGATGGAGGCGGAAATGTTGTAGGCCCGTGTGCTCAGATTTGAGTGCACGTTAGAGAACCCCAGGTGGTCAAAAGTTCCGGAGCCCTCCACTACGGCGTCTCTCATAATCATATGGTGGTTTTAGGACGTTAAACCCCCCATATCAATCAATCATATCAATCAATCATACTAAGAAAATGGAGCGCTCACTGAACGCAGTGACACGCTGAAGTGTGAGTGTCCTTTTTGGCACGTTTTCAAAGAACGCTTCCTAGGCGCTTGAATAATCAGCCGTGACCTCCTTGCTAAAACTAAAAAAGAAAATGATATGCACGTGCAAGTTCGGTTTCGCTGTACGCATTGGAAGACTCGATTTTGCTGTGCCTACTCGCTAGGCAGTGTGTTCTTGCGCTACCACCAGATCTCTTAAACTGCATGGCCGGGTGCCTGTGCGAGCGAAAGCTAGTTAATTTGAGTAAGCTTGTTTATCCTCGTAGTCGAAGCACAGTTCACCAATCGAATGATATGACAAGTCGAACGTGTGGTCCTGCATGCATTCACTATCTGCATCTTATTGGTTTCCAAAATCATCGTCGCATTCGTCGCGGGAAATGCCAGGTCTGCAAACCACCAAAAGACGCTCGCGTTTGCGTTTTATTTTGATGGCAGATGTTCGCGTTCATGCACTTTACCTCAGTCGCTAAGGAAGGGCGTTTGGAGAGGTAGACAGACGAGCCAACGATCGCGTTCCCAGTAGATTCTCGGGCACAGTTGGAACACAGCTAAATTTTGCGCGGCTTGCCATGGAGTATTCCTTCTTTCCTTCAATTACACGCGGATTCACACCAACATTCGCTCAACAATGGCAAAAAGTATTTCGCTTTAGTAATATAGAATGCACCAGATTTACTGTTTGTGCTCATCCGTTCGTCTGTATGTGTCGGTCCCGAACGGTGCAGTATATGTGCACAAAGCAAGTCTGTTGGCCCATAACGTAAATATGCCCTATGGAAGATTGGTGCTGCGTCATTATTTT